GCAGGGAGCCCGATGCGGGACTCGATCCCGGGACTCCAGGATCATGACCTGAGCCGAAGGCAGTCGCTTAACCAACTGAGCCACCCAGGCGCCCCCTTGGGAAGTTATTTTTCACATTGCAGGTCACGATCCGTTAGTGGGTCGTAAAATCAATTTCTGGGTCACGGTTGGCATTTAGAGAAAAAGAGAAAGTATGACTGGGCATTGTGTATAGTAAAGGTACCTTTTATTTTGATGATAATAGAAAAATGCGTCACCATGTATATTTACACATGTGCGTGCGTGAGGGCATGTACACACGCCTGGCAAGAGGCAGTGGCTTGGGTTTTACCCCGTGGTGAAATCCAGCTTCTTTCCAGATGATTTCGTTCTCTTTTCAAGATTTCAGTGATCGCGGCTTGTCTCCTGTCCTCAGCTTTGCCTGTGTTTCTTTTTCAGGTGGAACCAGGGAGATTGGCTCCGCCCTGACCAGGATGTGCATGAGACACAGAAGCATAGAAGCCAAGCTCAGGCAGTTTTCGAGGTGAGGAGTGCGTCTCGCCGGGATCTCACCAGCCTTTGCTGGTTTCGGCAGAAGGGGCAGCACTTTTTTCCCTGTAGCGTTGCAGTGCCCACAGCCCGTGATGCTCCTCCCTCACTGATCAAGTGTTCGTGGGCCGTCTGCCGCATGCCAGGCTCTGGGCGGGGTGCTGGGGGTGCAGCGGACAACCGGATGGCCTGGGTCCCTGCCCTCGTGGAGCCCGCACCCACTTTGTGCTCCTGTGGGTCTCTCCTGGCGCCCCGCCAGCGTGTGAGCAAAGGCAAGGAACACTTTATCCCCAGGGAAGTATCTCCTATTTTTTCCTGGGCCTTCATTTGATTAAAAGTTAATAACCTGGCCATGCAAGGAAGCTGGCACACTCAGGCACTGCTGGAAGGAGTGTAAACTAGTCCCTTTTCTGGAGGAGAATCTGGCAGCGTCCATCCAGCAAAGCCTTTAAAAGCGAGTCCCCTCTTTGACACGGCAATTCTACTTCTAGAAGTTTAACCAGAGAAAACAATTAAGGACGAGAGCAAATCCTTCCCCAGGAGGACAGTCCTTGAAATGCTGCTGACAACAGTAAAAACTGGAAGCAGAATCCCATTCTGGGGAGCAGGGTAAATAAAGCATAGAACACAGACTGATGCTGGAGTAGCAATGTAGCCCTCTCCAGGCCAGGCCGCGGTGTTGAAGGTCGTGGGAAGGTGAGTCACCTGGGTGGAGCTCAGCCTGTGCCGGGCCCAGGGAGAAGTGCCGTGGTGTGGGTGTGAGAGTCGTGGTGCTGGGGAGCGGGGCACGCGCTGTTACCCGGGGGCATCCTCTCTACCCACCGCGGACAGCGGTAACCATGGAGCCCTCCGTGCTGCTGGCCTCTTGTCTGTCTTACCAGCCTCCAGAGTGGGTAGAACTGGCAGTGTTTGGCCAGGGATTTGGAGTCACCAGTGTTCCAGTGGGGGGTGGAGGGGAGGGACGTTCTTCCAAGCAGATTGGAGCATTCTGCTTTACGGATCGTGAGTTGTGTGAGGGGTTGCCAATGTGAAAGGCCTCTGTCCCTCCTGGCCGGGCCACCATGGGAGGTGGCAGAACATGGTGGGAAGTGCCTGGTCTTGGAGACTGATAGGCCTGGGTTTGAACCCCGGGCTGGCCGCTCAGGCGTGGGCCTCTTGGCTGGAATCTCAGCTGCTATAAATTGGGGTGCTTGTGAGAATTCGTGGAATGTCCACACATTTCGAGCAGAAAGCGCCTGGGTAGCAGGTGATGACATCTGCCCGCCTTCCCTCCTGCTCGCTCCCAGACCAAGCAGTGCCTCCTCTCCCAGGTGTCATCCGGGTTTATTTGCAGTAAAGAATGAATGAATGAATGAATGGTGGTGCCCTACCCCATTTTAGGGATGAGGAGACACTGGTTCAACAGCCAGTGTTTATGGAGCACCTACTGTGTGCCAGGCACTGTCTTAAGGCCTGTGGGCTATAGCAGTGAATAGGACCGTGCCCTGTCCTCATGGGGCTTACACTCTAGACACCACGTACACCTCCCACAACGTCAGGCCGCGGGAAATGCCACGAGGCGAAATCCTCGGGCTAGGAGACAGGTGGCCCGGTTCCACCCTGGGTGGTTAGAGCGAGTCTGTTCAGAAGGACAATTTGAACAGAGACCTGGAAGAAAGGAGGGGGTGAGCTGTGCTGATGGCTGGCGTGAGTGTGGGGGAGGGGAGGCCCTGACGAGGACAGGAGGGAATTGTACCAAGAACTTCAAGATTTTCAGGAGGCCCACGATCAAAAAGCAGTCTGAGGGCACCTTTGTAGTAATTCTCACCAGCGCAATTCGAGCGATTTACGGGCACTTGCTAATTTTCCTACAACATCTCTGTGACGTAGGAATGTATCCATTTTCCTTCTGTTACACAGACATAAACCCTGGGGGTCTGTGCCTCACACGGTTCCTCTGTGTGGGGAGGTACCTGGGGATGCCTTCGCCGCTCTTCTCCAGAAGCTGGCCATTCAGCTTTCCTTCTCCAGGCTGTCCAGCTAGTCTACACTCATGACTTCTAATTCTGAACGCACATCAGAATCATGTGACTTTAAAAAAGAAAAAAATAGTAATACTGGGGTCGCACTCCAGGTTTCTCTCAGGCATGAGGTCTGGGGTGTAGCCCTGATGTCTTTACCTTTTTAAAGCTCTCCAGGAGCTTCTGTTGTGCAGCCAGAGGGGTGACCCCACAGGTCTGCGACCGTGCTTGTGAACACAAGAGAGAGAATGTAAGCAGGGGAAATGGGAAGAGGGCTCGCTCCATCCAGTCATGTTGACGGCCTCCTACCAGTCCCTGGAGAGCAGCACTCTGAGAATAAGGTGGTTACGACATGGGGAGATTTGGATGTGAACTTGGGCTTAGGTGCTGCCTTGCCTTGCACCTAAGTTGTCGTGACTTAGGTGGTTTTGATAACCTCACAACAGAATGTATCTGTTTAACTTCTCCTTGTCTTTCCTTTTTTTTTTTTTGGGGTGAAAGTGCTTTAATCGATTGTCTGATAAACCCACTTCAAGAACAGATGGAAGAATGGAAGAAAGTGGCCAACCAGCTGGATAAAGACCACGCGAAAGGTACGGGGGAAGGCTGTCTGCTGCGTAGCAGCACGCGCCCCGAGCAGAGCTGCGGATGTTGCCGGATGTTGCCTCCTGCCCTTGCTGGTGCCCCCCGCAGGGCCCCCTCTGGTCCCACTTCTCCCATTTCGGCGTTGGAGGATAAGGACTCCCGAAACCTCCCTCAGCGGCTGATGGCCCAGGCTCTCAGTGGTCTTAGCTGTGATCGGCTGAATGAAACGTGAATGGTAATGCCAGGCTTCAGCGCCAAAGATTCACACGTAAGGCATTCCAGCACGTTTCGAAAGCCAACCTTTTAAAGAGAGAAGCTGACCTGGGCTCTCCTGCCCGGAACCACCACCCTCTCTGCGTATGCTTCAACGAAAGCTCCTCAGCACCTCGTGTGCCGCGCTCTGGGGGCAGAGTGGTCCAGATGGACACCTCCCCAGTTGGTCCTCCTGGACCCAAAGGCTGGGAGTACTGGCAGCGTGGGAGGGGCGGGTTTCTCCGAGGATCATACGACCTGCAGTGAGTGCTGGGGAGGGAAGGCCTATGGGGAGATTGGAGGCGGGAGGAAGCCAGAAGGAAGGGTTGGCGCATAGCGGATCCCAGGAGCGTGGGACCGAGGGCCCTGAGTGGCAGCATGGGGCTGGGGGGCTTGCGGGGAGGGAAGCATCCGGGAAGTCTGCAAGGGAACTGGTCGAACGGGCAGTTATTTGAATATGAGGTCAGCAAAGGAGGAGAGAGGTGTCAGAGGCGGTTGTCACTTCAGATGTCCGCATCTGGGTGATGGAGGTGCCAGTGACAGAAATGGGAAGTCCAGGAGCAGGTGTAGACTGGTGGGGGACGAGGAAATCGTTGGGGGGACGTGGTGTACGTATGTGGGCCGCCCCTCCTCGGGATCCAGCGCCAGCCTTGGTGTGGGTGTGAGAGTAAGGCTAAGGCAGCTGGACCTTCCCCAGTTTGCCCCCACGCCGTCTGATCTCTCACGCCGGGGGCTTGGGGGCTCTTTGCTGAATTGTAACATCTGGCAAGCGTCTTGCCACATGGGTTCCTTTTTGAGCAAAGCACTGTGGATTTGGGCCTTTGGGAAAGCAAATCCTATTTTTCAATTTCCTGATACGTGGGCCGAGAAATTGTGGATTTTTCACTTGTAGTGAAATATCCCCGAATGACGTCTTTCCTCACAGCTGATACGAGTGAATACTATCAGGAAAAGACCAAGGTGCATTTTGTGGCTTTTCATGTTAATAATCGCCCCTGGGCTATACAATGTCAGTGTGAGATTGTTATCATTTGGCATTCTGGATTAAGCTCTTCATTGCAGGGCATCGTTTCTGCTTTCTGTAATGAAAGTAATGGTTGTTCCTTAGAATATTGTCCATTGTGCAAAGTGGTAAAATGATTCAATATTCTGCCTTCTTTTAGAATATAAAAAAGCTCGCCAAGAGATAAAAAAGAAGTCCTCAGATACACTGAAGCTGCAGAAGAAAGCAAAAAAAGGTAACTACAAGTTCTGCCATTAATATTGTTCCTTTGGGGAAACGAGCACGTGCTTGGTTTGACTTGGAAACAGAAAGCATCGGATTCAGGCTTCGGTGCATATGACGGCCCTGGGGAGCAGGAGCACCTAGAATCCATCTGAATTAAAGCTCCCAAGTGCAGAATATCTATTAATTTGAGGCCCTTGCAAAGTTGTACTTGACTTGTTCCCTCCCCCCTACCTTTGTCTCCAAAATGACAGTTTCCATGCCTATTGTGCGTTGTAATGAAACCTATAAATTTCTTGGAAGCCTTGGGATAATGCATAAAAGCCTTCATGCAGATGTCCTCTAGTAATTATTACAGAAATTATGTCCTTTTCTCCTCCATCGTTCACAGCCTATAATCTCCAAAACCCTTTATTAAGCCTTGTGAGAATGTTAGAAATGGCTGCAGTGGGAGCCTGGGAGCATGTGCTTTATAGAGAGCCTTTTCATGGTGTTTGTGAGTGTGGGGACTCCCAGGGAAAACCAGACTGGGGCAGCGTGGCCCTCCGCCCGCCTCCCTGCTTGCTGTCATCCACACACTGGCCCCCTGTCAGATCCGTGACCCAGCTCTGCTCTTCCAACATGGACTGGGAATGTGCAGAGAAAAATCTAGCTACATCTACTTTGCAAGCATTTGTGACATTTTCCTAAGACCAAAAATCTAGGAACTCGAACTTGAGAGGGTGACATTCTTCCAGGCTGTTCTTCTTGATACCAGCTTTTTGAATTTGTTGTCTCACAACTGATGAAATGTTTTTGTTTTTTCCCATGAGGAAAAAACTCTGTGTTCAGTGTTTGTTTGGGACAATGTTTGGGACAATTTTTAGGTAGAAACCCCCAAAACCAAATTTCCTCTTTTCCTAAACGGGCAGTTCTCATTTGGAATTAGAGGAAAATACATTCAGAGAGCTGGAGTAGTTTGGTGGAAGGGGGGCAAGGACTGGACAAAGTTTTTAAGCTTTGACATTTTTCAAAAATGTCTTCCCAGTTCTTGTAAAAACCGTAAAACCATTTCACGATAAGGGCAGGAGAATTTTCACCCATAACCAGATCTTCTGTCAGTTTTGGCCTCACCCCTTTGTTTTGGTTGTGTTTTCTTGGTGCTTTTCAAACGTATGTTCTATCTCCCTGGCGCACCTGGGACCTAACATTGGACAAGTAACAGGGTTTGCGGCCAGTAACATTTCAGTGAGTCCAGAGGTAAATGCTTATAAATCAAATGGCCATCGCTTCCATCGAATCTGGGGTCCCATGGAAGATCTGGCTGGTAAACATTCGGGACTGATTTCCATGTCATTGATGGCTTGGCAGCTTTGAGATGAAAGGGATTTGGAAGGAAGGTCCAGGGAAGACACTTACAGGTTTGGAAAGGTTTGGAAGTTTGGTAAAAAGGAGTAGGGAAGAAAAAGTAGCTGTTTTCCCTTAGCTGTTTCAGAGTTCTCTTTCCAGAGGCCTTAAGTTCTTGGCTGCAGTGATAATCCTTTTATCTGAATTCTGCACGGAGGCTGGAACACTGCATCTGTCACTCGAAGTCCCTGGCATTGTCCCAATTAGCAGAATTTGGACCTCCAGGGAAAGGCTGATGGGTTGATTGCAGTGCAACACAAAAGGAAGTTTCTGGCAATTAGACTTGCCCAAGCACTGGCTCAGGCTGCCTAGAGAGGATGATGAGTTCCCCATCAAGGCACCCGAGGGAAAGATTCAGGACGCCTAGGGTGCTAGACTGTGTAACATGAAGAGATGCTTCTGGTCCCAGGGCTCAGTAGAATTGGTATTTGGTTGGGAGGCTTCGTGGGGCACTTGGGCCTGAAGGCAGAGGATGGAGGCTGTGAGCAGGGGTTTCTGGAAGCATTCTTTCTCAGCGCTAGCCACATAGCTGGTGGTCTCAGGCACCATGTCCTTCCAGACAAGGTGGCCACGGTGGTATAGTTATGTATACGCACCAAGTCAGATCAGTTGCTTGGAATGTTCCAGATGATTTTCTCGTTATCCAGAGTACAACCAGAAAACAGTTTTCTTTCTTTCCTTTACAAAAATATTGTTTTCTAAAATATATAAGTGCATTTTTTTGACTGAGTGCACACATTTGTGTATGTCTGAGGTGAATGGAACCTTCTAGAAGGCACCAGAGTCGTCATTCTGTTTATAATGGAGTGCTCTCCTAGAAGATGGGTAGCCTGAGGATGGAGCAGGAATGCTGCAAGTTCAGGGCCAGCAGAAATCTGGTTATTTGAGGCTTCCAGTGATTTGGGGTCTGGTTACCTGAAGTTTCCCTTGCTGCCAGAACTCCTCTTGAGGCATCTGCATCACCTTCCATAGGTGGTGGGTTTCTGGACTCTAGGCTTATAAAGTGTTGGTAGTTTCTTCTGAGATTTACACGGTGTGTTACGATAGACACATGCTTCAGATACCTTTTTTTTTGTCCTGATAGAACTGAGTCTGGTAACCAAATAATCACTTTGCTTTTAATGTGTTTTCAGGAGATCACCAAGCAGCTTTCTGCTGTGCCTTTTTAAAAAAACTGTGATCTTTGATCTAAAAGCTCTTCTGACTCTCCTTTTCAAAATTTCAAACACCTTTGTGCAGTTAAACATGGTGGTGGCACTGCTCTTGATTTTTTAATTATTTATTTATTACTATTAATTATTTATTTATTACTATTAATTAACTTATACATACATATATATCTGAGTATATATGTAGGCAGACACATAGGGGACGTCATTTTTGTATGTGACTAATTTAATTTTCACGCTGCAGATATCACCTTTTGTCACATGCTTTATTGGGCTCTTTTTTTTTTTTCCCATAATAAAGACAGTGGTAATTTATAATCTAAAGGTATTTAAATATTACCATCCCAAAAAAAAAAACTTCGAATATTTTTTTGGGGATTTGGTTAGGTTTTATCTCAAAACCATTTTAAAACAACTTGGCATCTGCTCCAGCTGTGGGTGGGTGTACCTATTTCCGTGGAAGGCAGGGTTACCGAACACCTACCAGGCGTAAACGTGAGGCAGATGTTGGGAGCTACAGAGACAGTACCTGCCCTCGGAGAAGTTCCAGGCTGATGCCCAGGGTTAGGGACCCAGGACAGAGCCAGCCTGAGTGACAGGCGATGGGGAGAAGACTGAGGCAGCGGGAAGGTAGGGACCTGCTGTGGAGTCGACCCAATAGTCCGAACCCTAGAAGATGTCCAATGAGTCCTCATCAAGCCCTGCTGCTTGACGTCAGCTCGGGTCCCGGAGCTGGCCGAAACTTCACTGGGGAAGTGAGCGTGGATGGATTGTGGGAAACGTGTTCTGTTCTTTGCTTGCTTTTGCCACCTTACCATACAAAGTCAGCAGCCTTCTCATTTAATTAACTCCCAGATTACTATTAATTTAAATGTAAAAATTAATTATGGTCAAGCCTTCTCTTTCCATCTGAAACTACTGAAAGCTTATCAGGACTTTCTTTGAGGCTGCTAAAACTGGAGCGTTCTACTATATTAACCCTGGAGCCTGACATTTCAATAGTTTAATCTATCTTTTTTGACCAGAGGCTGCAAAAAGCCAATACTATAAACCTAATAAACAGACTCACAGAGGTCTAGACGAAGACGTTATTTGCTCTTCTACTAAAATTTTAACTTTATTATTTTTTTTTTCATTTTTCACCCCAGTTTAAATTTTGTTTCCTGGTTTTCCCCAATTACTTTTCAAGTTATAGTAAATTATACTTGAAAGATTTTCTTGGTGTAAAGCATCTTAATTGGCTTCTTTGGGGAATATAGTCTTCATCTCTCTTCTTAGAAACCATGCCGTGATGTCTAGGGGGTGATGCTTACTAACGAGGAAGGTTTCTGTTTAAGAGGAGAAAGAAAAGTTTTAGCAAGTCAGGGAAGGGACCGTGGATGCGCAGCTCTTGGTGGAGGTGGGTGGGTTTAATTGCCCCGACAGAAAATCTGGTGGCAGACCACGGACTGTTGAACACATGAAAGGAAGGTAAGACTGCTGCTCGAATCCCAGTTTGACTTTTATTTTCCTTTTTGTGTCAATTGTGTATCCTGCACTTTCTCACCGTGCGCCCCCCGCCAGTGGACGCTCTCGGTAAGTCTACCATCCCGACTCTCTGGTGGCTGGTCACGATGTGGTCCTTGCTGTGGGCTTTCCGTGGTTGTCCAGATCTATGCTAGTTGCCCAAGTTTTCCTGCCAGCTCAGAACAATCAGTTGTGCCTACTTAATTTTCCATAACTTTAAGACAATCGTGTGTGTTATGTGTGTTTTAATCATTTTCCTTTTTCGGTGTTTGGCCCTTTCACGGGTTAGCCCCACATCCTGAGGGCCTTTGCATCATCATAATTCAGTATTAGACTCATGGAAAGAAGAAATACAGAGTGATTTGCACCGGAAATAAACGTATTTATACATACATATATATCTGAGTATATATGCGTGTATTTATATCACAAAATGTGTAGAACTGCACTAAATAAACCCTCAAAATAATCCCCAAATCAGATTTGGCTAGCAAAATTTCTTTAACTTTGTCTCCCCAGGACCATCTAGTTCTTTTCAAAATGAATAATTCGTTGTCTTTTTAAAAAAACAAACAAACAAAAAACGGAAGTATTTCTTATTTCAGCGGAGTTTGTGAAATGTTTCATTTCAAAGGTATCAGATCTTCAAATTCAGTAATCCCAGTGATTCTTCTTGACTGAATGTTGAACTTCGTTCTCTGGGTGATTTGCTTTTGGAGTCTCGTGGCTATACCCTCTGTCTCGGAAAGGTCTGTCTGAGGCGTCCGTGTGGTTTATCTTGCCTTGAGTGTGCTGAGTGTCCTCTGAGACCATTTTTATCGAACAGCTCCAGAGAGGTTTTTGAATTGGAATCTGTCCTCTCCAACAAACACCCAAGTGGCCCGGGTCTCCTGTGATAGGTGGGGGGCCGAGATGGTCTGCTGTCGTTCGTGTAGGACCCAGCTCTGTCTCT